GTAACTACATTCATTATATTTCAGTGCTAGGGTGATGCTTAGCTAAGCCTATATGAAACACTTTTAACTGACAGGACTCGATGATCGAACTGTGTACTGTAAGGTAGCTTCTAGTTCATGTCAAAGTCACATTTTCCAGAGAGCTTTCTTTGAAATCACGGTCGCTAAAAAATTACATTTGAATGTATGCAAAGTGTTTTATGCAATACATATGGCTGCTGTAGCCTGTAATATGCTTTGCTACATGTTCGCTAACTTGGAGTTTTAAAAAAAAATGACATTTGCTACCTTGATTTCCTGGCCAAGGTGGCTGGCTCTGGGGTTTTAACTGTGTGAGCCCCCACTTGAGATTGTTGCTTTTTTTTTAGGACATTGTCTTATGTATGGTCCATCTTCAAACTCTGAGTCGGCTTTTTTTTTGACAGTGTTATTTTAAGCATTGTCACAGTCCTCCAAGATCGGTATCTGTCAGGCCAATAAGACAGATGTTTATTCCATTCAACTCTCTGGCTTGTTTTGTTGTCTTGCTCTTTGGATTCACTGAAAGGGAATTACTTTCCTTCCGTCCTTTGTGATGACGGTTCAGGTAAGCACATTTGTTTATATTATGTTAATATAATCAACATTGACTTTGGAGTAGGCAATCTGGCTATTAACAAATGAATTAATACTTATCACGGCTACGGCTGTACTTAGCTTTTTTATTTTTTTTGCTAGGGCCCCTTAGTGGCCTGCGGGGCCCTAAGGGGGACGCTGTATGGCCGTTAATGGGTCGGGGCCGCGCTCTGTACATACACACACGTATTCGTAGGCAGACATTACTTGTAGGGCGGGCCTGTTATAAGTAGGGTGGCCGCTTTTTCCGGGAATGACTTTAGCGTAGCCCTTGCCTATAATAATAATGCCCATGCCAGCATCGCTGTGCCATTTCCTGATGGTCGCGACTTGACTGTATGATATGAATTGTTGAAATCTCATATCAAAGTAAAAGCATATAAAGCCAATAACATACATTTTAGGCTCCATCCGTATTAGATCCACTTTGCCCCATACTCAGAATGTTACTGCGTAACGGAGCAAAGCTACAACCAGGGCTAGGCCTCAAACGAATTAGGTTTTTGGCACAACCCACATTTTTATATTATGTTAAATTACCAACCTGTGCTGCTTCTTCGGGGGGGTGCTAAACTTAAACCATACTTTATCATTTACCTATCTCCGTTTTATATTTAGATATTACTTTTCCCGTTATCTCCGCTCCTTTTCTCACACGCTTGCTTTTCCATAGCCCACCATCCACTTCCTGTCAACAGTGAAACTCACCTTCCAAATAAAGAGCATGAAATAAACGGAAGTTACCTACATTTATTTTAAGACATACAACTGCAACGAAAGTAACAAAAACAATGTAATATCCTTTTCAGTTTCACAGAACACAAATTGTGTTATTTGCAATCGTTAGGTAACTCTTTTATTGCACTAGGTAACAGCAACAATAGGTTGTAGCATTCAAACCAAGCCGTAAACTCTGGGGAACAGCCGGGACGCCAATAAGGAAGTGCCACACACTGCAGTTCATATAGTGGCCAGTAGGAGCAGTCTGCAGAAGGGAGCAATTTCCATAGACCCCCATGTTAAAATGCCCAACTTTACAGCAGAAATAAACATGTTTATTGCATGCTCCTCCTACCGACCAATCAGCTTGTTAAATGTGGATTTTAAATTATTGCCTAAAATGCTCGCTTTACGTTTGGAAACCGTGTTACCAACCATTATCTCTCCCGATCAAACCGGCTTCATCAAAAATAGGCATTCATTGTTTAACTTAAGACGACTTTTTAACACAATCTACCAGCCTTCCGCAAATTCTATAAGCTGTGATATCTTTAGGTGCAGAAAAGGCATTTGATCGTGTGGAGTGGAGGTATCTTTTCACACCTTGGAAAGAACTTTACCTCATGGGTGAAGCTATTGTACTCCTCTCCCCTAGCTTCAGTGAGGACTACTGTAATAACACGCATTCTGAATATTTCCCTCTCAACCGCTCCACCAGGCAGGGTTGTCCCTTGAGCACTCTCTTATTTGCCTTAGCTATTGAGCGCTCTTCGTGAGAGGTATTTTCAGAAATGGGGTAGAACAGAAAGCTTCTCTTTATGCGGATGACCTTCTTCTTTATGTCTCTAATTTATCTGTGTCCGTCCCTGCAGCTCTCTCTATCCTTAGCTCATTTGGTGCTGCATCCGGTTATAAACTCAATTTAAGTAAAAGCGAATTGTTCCCTTTAAATAGAGCGGCGCGTGAGTTTCCTCTACATAGTCTACCATTTAAAACTGCACTACACAGCTACACTTACCTCGGGATCCAGGTGACCGATACATTTAAAGATCTTTTTAAAGCAATTTTGACAGAGACCAAAGGCGCGGGGTGGACTTGCTCAGCCGAATTTGAGGTTCTATTATTGGGCAACGAATCTGAGAATAATACAGTCCTGGCTTCAGTCTGACTCACAGCACTCTCTGCCTGTCTGGCTTGAAATGGAGGCTGCTTCCTGTAGTCCAGTATCCCATTAAGACCCCCTCCTCTGCTTACACTAAAAATGTAATTGCCAAAGCATCCTTAAAAAATTGGAATCAGTTCAGACGTTTCTTTGATCTCCAAGCATACTCTACATTAGCCCCTTTAACTGCAAACCATGTTTTTCCTCCATCCTTAGTAGATGGCGCATTTACTATTAGGTTTAACCAAGGCATTAAAGCATTCAAAGACCTTTGTATTCACAACACATTTGCCTCTTTCGAACAGCTACCTAATAAATGTGCACTACATACTAGTCAACATTTCTTCAGGTATCTACAGATTCACAGTTTTGTTAATAATAGATTTCCTCAGCCACTAGACACACTCCTTAGGCCTACTCTGATGGGCCTTGATGGGTTAATATTTACACTCAGATTTATTCTCTTCGTTTGGTTACCCTGAACTCCATTGAATCTCTTTGGGGAAACAGATCTTGGGGAGGAGATTTCTGAAGAACTTTGGGAAAAACCCTTGCTAATGTACATACATCTTCTATTTGTGCTAGACATGGACTGATTCAATGCAAAGTAGTGCATCGCACACACTTTACTGAGCTCAGGCTCTCTAAAATATATAAGGAGGTGGACCCAACTTGTGACAGATGTAGCCAAGCACCGGCGAGTCATGCACACATGTTCTGGTCTTGTCCGGTCTTACACTCTTATTGGACTGAAATCTTTAGATCACTGTCAGAAATCACTGGAAAACCAATGCCATGACCGCACTGTTTGGTCTAACCCCACCCACATGGCCACATGAACAAGTGATTTTATTTAAAGTGTTTGTTTTGCATCCTTTCTTTATATTTCAGGGATGCAGCAGCAGTAAGATAAGCGGGACGTGAAATCTAATCGGTGTCTGTCTATTCGAATGTTATCTCACAGCGGTTTATATGAGCTGATGAAGGAACTGCATAACTCTGCTCCTCTTCCTCTTTATCTGGACAGAGGAAATGAGAGGATGCTATCTGCCGCCGCTCGCCTCGGCTAAGCAGACGGACATTTTCTCCAGGCTTCAGATGAAAACAGGAGCTTTATGAACCTCAGGAATATTTGTATCCGACTCTGAATTAAAACACTCTAGAGAGAGGTGTTAGGAGCTGATCTGTGTGTCATCTGATCACAGGGAGGATCGAGGACCAGCGACTGCAGCACATCTCAGTTCTTTTCTTCCCTATTCATCAAAAAGGATTTCTCTCGTCTTACATTGTTCCTGCACACAGTGATGAAACATCGGAGGCGTTTGAAACAAAATGAGAGCGAAGGTGTCAATGTACTGCAGGTAATAAAGTAAGGATTAAAGGTTCCCTATTATACTCTTTTATATTCAATATATTATAGGTCTCAGTTATATACAAAACATGTCTCTGAGGTAGGGCTGCTCGATTATGGTAAAAATCATAATCTCGATTATTTGGGTCAATAATTGATATCATGATTATTAAAAACGATTATCCATTTACTTTGAAAACATCCAT